TATATTGTGAGGATACTTTTGGGTCGGGCTACACACCGCAGCAGTGAGATACTGATTATGATAATGAGGCCGAGGGCCTGAGATTGTGCGCCACGAGGTGGCTTGATATTGATATGAGGCTGAGAGCCTATATATGATGTCACGAGATGGCTTGATATTGTGCTTGGGCCGTAAGGGGCCCCTCCCGGAGTCTGTTCACCCCCAGTGAGCGCGGGTACCCATTGTGATGTGAGATATAGCCCGAGGGGCTGATATTGTTCTATGTGATAGCACGAGGAGCTGGTATTGTTCTATGTGATTTGCCCGAGGGGCTGGTACCGTTCTATGTGATTGCCCGAAGGGCTGTTATTGTTCTGAGATATTGCCCAAGGGGCGGAGTTGTTGACATTGTGCCCGAGGGCGAACCTTTATGTGTTTATCTTTCATATTTACTTGTCATTTACCTGTTAAACTATGGGATTTGTGCCCGAGGGGCGGATTTTGTGCTTATCTGCACTAACTGTTTTGTATTCATTTGCGTAACTGTTGAAAAAAAAAAGTCATTTTCAAAGAAGTTTAAACCGAGCTAAGATGTTTTAAGAGATTTTTTACAGCTTCAGTGCTTTCTTACTGGTTTTTGAACTGCTTCTATACGGCACCTTGATATGATTTACATGATTTCTTACCATTCAGACTTTTGTTATGATTATTACTCACTGAGTTGGAGTACTCACTTTACTCTCTGCACCTTGTGTGCAGATTCAGGTATTTATACACCCGGTAGTGGGTTTTGGCTGATCGGAGGCAAAGTCATCGGAGTTTAGCAAGGTAGCTGTCGGCGTTCGCAGCACTGCTTCTCTCTCTCTTCATTCATTAGTCTGTATTTGTACACTCAGACTTTCAGTTGTATTTATATCCTAGTAGATGCTCGTGACTTGTGACACTCCGGTTAGGGCTTTGTTGGGTTGTACTTTCGCACTTTATTGGCATTATTCGCTACTTAGTATTGCTATATCATGTTTCAGACTGCTTTTATGTTATTTAACTGTTTAAAAAGTGAATTGGGTTTAATTAGCTGGCCTTGTCTTCACGAGAGGTGACATCATGACCGGGTCCGGGTTTGGGTCGTGATAGTTTATTTTTACCCTTACCCTTCTTCTTAGAAGAGTTTCCAACCAACATGACAGTTCCTTTCTTCTTCTCAGATGCAAGTCGATTCTCATAATCAATCAGCATGTTAAGTATCTCATGAAGATCACAATCCATTTTATGCATATTAAAATTAATAACAAATTGTAAAAAGGATTCAGAGAGTGACTGCAAGATCAAATCTTGAGAAAGCTATTTACCTAGTTTGCACCCCAACTACTCAAGTTCTTCAATAAGATCAATCATACGATTGACATGGGGTCCAATTGGAAAGTTTCCAATCAATTTGGATCCAAATAAAGCCTTAGATAGCTGGTATCTTGTTGTCCTGCTTTGTGTACCAAACATCTTCTTAAGATGTTCAATGATTGTAGTTGGACCCATATCCTAATGTTTCCTCTGGAGCTCAGAACTCATAGAAGCGAGAATGATGCATTTAGTAGTAAGACATTCTTCCAAGTATTTCTGATAAATCTTGGTGGCATCATCATCATTCTCATCTGGGACTTCTTTGGCAGGCTTATCGATCACATCAATAAGTTTTTCATGCATGAGAACAATTCTCAAATTTCTGTACCAATCATCGAAGTTTGGTCCTACCAACTTGTTGGTCTCAAGTATTCCACGCAGTGATATAACAGACATATTGAGAAATCTAAAATTAAAAAAGAAAAGGCAATATTATAAGAACATATTAAACATATTATAAAGACATGAACTTTTATTTAAATGATATTTCCACTAATTATTTTAAATTATTTTCCCTCATTATAGTTTAAGAAATCTTTATTTCTATTAGTGGGGTAAAGGAATCCTTCAACAATATGTATGAGCCACTTGGAAGTCAAGTCGTTTCTCACATATATTTTAAAAGTAGGTACACTTACCAATTGTATCCCCATACAATTTTCTTAAATAGCTCTATGTCAATTAGTCCCCTGGTAGTCGGGTCAATCTTATTGGCATAGTTGAGTTCAATCATCATGATAGCAAAGAACTTATTAAATTTTATACTCCCCCGGTAGTCCAGGCGTCTAGTGTAAAATTAAATAATTCTTTCAATCCATGCACCTAATGCAATAAATAGTTTTAACATATTCTCGAACTATAAGTCTCCTGGTTATCAGGCCACTCCTTATAAACAAGAAGTAACTAAAATTATTTATTTTGATGGATAGCTTTACTAATAAAATATCGTATATTTTATTATTCAAGAACTCAAATTTTAGTAAGAGGGAATTGTTACTAAAACAACTTTTAATAACATGATGATCAAATCTTTCATAGCACATGAATTTGGCTTAAGTTGTCTGCATGCTTTGTCTTAAATTAATTTACATCACATGTAATAACTAATTTAAAATTATATATCGAACAAGTATGTCACATATAAATGAAATTCAACATATTTCTAACATGTTTATATAATATATCACATAAAATAATACATGCCAGAAAATTATTATTAGTTAATACCTTATAAACTAATAACAATTAAAACAATGTATAATCTAATAACCTATTACAGATTACCGTCATATCTTATACGAAATTTCAAATTCAAGTTACGAACTATCTTAGTAGTTTAACTTATATAAATACATATTTTATTCACAATAAAATAATATCAATCAATGTATTCAAATAATTTGTCTATTGCACAAGATACATGTATTGTGGTTTGAACTTTTCAAATGCAAAAATATTTCGTAAATAAATTTTAGACACGAGAAACCAAGGCTCTGATACCACTGTAGGATTGCATAGAGGTGTTCATAACACGCAATGGAAGACAATAACAATCCTCGGTAGAACTTTTCGTGTTTAAAATTTATTTACATATCAAAGATCGGATCTAAGACATACCTGGTGAAGAGAATCTTGTTTCAAAATTTCTTCGATAGTGCAAAGATCCTATGCGTATCCATACCGAGACCAATCCTTGCTATCAACTCTTTGATCAATGAAACCCGTGAACAAATTAAACGAAATTATGTACTGAAAATTTTCTAAAAAATTTCAGCAAGGAAGAACAAAGAAAATTATTTTCTTGTCAAGAACGTATTTCTCTTAGAATTTCGTACGGTGCATTCAGCTTGTGATTTTTCACTCTAACTACTTCTCATTGTTCACAAGTATGTGTGTATATATATAAAATGAAAACATTTTTCTAATGGGTAAGTCCAAGACGGAGGCTTCAAAAATTGTGGCTACTTTTTGTCTTTTAGAGTTCATTCAAATTGAACTTCTCATAAACCTCCTTTTTGGAAAAAGAATCCAATCCCATACTAATTAGTCCAATTGTGATAGCTGCACGTTTGTTAATCCAAAATTGACTTTCACNAAAGTAATTAATCCTTTAGCAAAGATCAGAACACCCGTTAGTGTGCGACCTCATAGGTTCAATACTAAGCCGGTAGTAAATTGATCACATCAATATACTAATCAAGGGTGGCGTCTAGCAACACTCCTTAACGACCGGATAACATGAAGTATACAATTTACTCTCAAGAACCTGTAGAAGAATAAATAATGTATTAATTCCTTCTGTCCTTATAGCTCTGGGCCACCCTAGGATATGGTTCAACTGTCAAATCCTAATAGGCGACCAACTATGTGTTCATGTCAAATATAATCGACCATTGAATGACCTAAGAAACTCTTTTCTTCTTTCATGCAATCGCCCTGGCCAAGGTCTTGATTTGGTCGGCTATGATTCATGATAACATGAAGCTTAAACTCATTACCAAGAGTTGACAGATTCCATCTTGATCAATCACTAATTCTTCAAGTATTTAATCATACCCAATATCCTTTCAACTATCGTCGTAGGGCCATAGGTGTCTAGCATCAAAGTACAATAAATAACTTGTCAATTACTATGATGATATCAGGTCAAAGGAAGCTCTTACATTACATTCTTCCGGAGAATATCCCATTGACAGTTTATGGTAATTCTAACCATTAGGAATTATCCAATGAGTCGGTTCAATGATCATATCTCTATATGCATCATCTATCTATGTGATTTAGTTAATGAGACCAACTAATCTTTATCTCATAAAGACGATCACATAGATATTGATCCAACCGGATTATTAATGTCCAAATTAATAAACTTATGATCAAGAACAAAATTTAGATTAAATTATAAGAAACTTCACTCTCATTATCATGATCTCAATCACAATGACAAGTCTCAAATTTAATCAAGGACCTTATCAAATTAATCAAGCAATTAATAATAATGATAAAAGAATATTAAATGCCATATATATTTTATATGAAATAACATTCATGAAAAATATGTTCAAATCATCAAACATGAGATTGGATCTAGGGCATATCTAATATATCCCTAACACTTGTAATCTACGTACAAGCATTCTATATACATATAGCGGTCTCATAATTTGAGCAGAGCTTTTGTTCATCAGATATCATTGCTCAATTCTGCTTCATTTGGCTAATTCGTTAGAATACCATTAGATTGACCAAAAAGTGCTCATATCCATTTGTTGCATCATCTTTCATTCCACTTTATTCTTTCACACTGTTTATAATAGATTTTTTAGGTTCTAGAATCTAGATTATATATCAAAAAGTGTAGAGGAGAAAAAGTAATTCCCTGATATCCCAACTTACAAAGATGGATAATTTACTCCCTTGCTAGGCATAGCTTATCCTTTTGAAATTCATAGGACATGCTCGACAAGTGTCTAAAATTTTGGGGCCTTAAAATAGTTTATAGGAAGACATGAAAATGAAAATGAGATGAAAGTTGAGTTGCTAAGCCTGTAACAATAAAAGATTTGCACTGATATTTTCCTTGAAGAGAGCAGCTTTGGAAAACAAGATTTGCAGATATCAGATAAAATAGTATTCCATTAAATAAAAAGTTGCATCTTCACGTATTACAAAGACGGACATTGGATCTCCTTGGTGGAGATAGGTTACAATGTTGATACAAGGATTGTGTTGTGGAGATGATATTTTCTATTTCACTCACTGATTCTCTTGGTTTGACATTTTCTATTTCGCTCACTGATACTCTTGGTTTAACCAATGAATGAGCCACCTCCAACATTATTGCCATCTCTTTCTTGTACTGCATAAGTGATTGAAGAGTGTAAAGGGGGAAAGTCATCACATTAACAAAACGAATGAACATAATAACTAACAGACGCTAAATAATACCTCGTTAATAGCTCCTGACTTAATTTTAGACTGCATAATGCACCATTTCTTGAAATGTGCACCTGTTGAAATTGCTGAAGTTAGCTTAACTTCGCATCACATCCGCACTCTCAAGGATGTGCAAATTTTGACTTTTAAACTAATCTTCAGGATCATTCAAGTAGAGAAATTTAGGTCAAGAAAATCACAGCTCCGAATTATGCATTCAACTGTTTCATGCTTGCCACTCACCAGAAAAATAGAATAAAGAGAAAGAAGATTACAGTGTCACGTACTAGAGATTCAGTAGTTACCCGTCCGAACGAAAACATAAATATGATATCTCTAGGGTTTCAAAGAGAGAATCCAACAGCAAGTTAGATCAAACAAGCTTGGAAGGTGAAACTTGGTCAAGCACAACATCTGTGAAAGCACTCATAAGCCCTGAACTCATCATTGCACCAGGAAAATAGCTTCCTATCTAATTAAATCCAAGTGTGATGAATGACGAGGGTATCAATTCTCTGTAAGAGTCTAGTGAGAATGTAAATTAGAGTGATAGGCAGATGATTTGCCCAAAAGCATAATAGATGATAAGCAAAATGATAAGTTAGAAGATACCCTAAAGATACCTTTAAGTGGTAGGCTAGTTCGACTACTCAAATTGTAGACATATTCCTGGTGATAAATCACTACTTGAGCCATTTAGAAACGACATTCTGGCTCTCTTTTTATTGCAAGAATCCTTCATTGCCAAAGAGCGCCCCCCCCC